ACGATGTAGCAAAAGATATATGTATCATATTATATATAATTAAAATACGATGCGATGTATGCAACTTGCCAAATAGTAAATAACATCTCTAACGTTCATTAGATATAATAAAAACACATTTATATATAATCTTGCTACTTGGGATGCAATATAATATTACCGTAATATTTCAGTATTATACATAAATGTAGTTTATCGATAATATTATTGTAATATTGTATTATACTATTCAATATTACTAATATATTGCAATATTACTGAGATATTTCCGTAATATTACGTGCTATATAAGTATCTCATCATTTTATCTTTATAGTTCATTGGACAAAAACAAAAGTAGAATGATGCAATAGCGCTGAAAACGCTTTCCGAACTCGCTCATTCTTATTTCAAGATTGTACACATGATAGATACATAAAGAATTTTTTTAATACAATATATCTGTCAGTCATAAGTAGTTAACATGTATATACGATTACTTTTTTTAATATGTAACACTTTTTATAGATGTGTGAGAGTCACTTCATAATTTGTATAAATTTGTAGATATGAAAATAAGATTACTGCAGATAGGCTGAAGAGCAAATATATCTTATGGACGTCTAAATATTGGGTATTAAAAGACATCCGAAATCGGATATACGATGGACGTCTAATTCATGTCCGCGGACGTGCGACCATAAATTGGACATAGAACGAACGTCCATAAGACATCCTGTGCTATCTGGGTGTGTATCTTTCTCTTACAGTGTACTGTGAGAATAAAGTTTTTTTTCACACAGTAAAGACGTCTCAAGTTTTTGTATTATTGATTGTATTTATTACTTTTATATATCTGTTTATTTATTACTTTTATGTATCTGTTTTAACACTGTTTTACATGTACAATTACACTTAATTACTTAATTGTAATCGGCCTTAATTTGCTTATTTATTTGTACATATTTTTCGACTATTCTCAAAAATTTCACGTGACTTTACACAATGACATAAATGACATGTCAATACTAGAAGAGATATGTCTAACTGCTAGTTGTTAAATTTATTTTTACTTTAAAGAATTGTTAATTGGTTCCTAGTAAAAACTGTTTCTAATATCAATTTTATTTCTAATGTTAATATTCCTTATTTATGTAATCTTAACTAAAGATAAGTCATATTAACTAAAAACAGTCACTTTTTCAGAATTTTGCCACATTTCCATTTCGTTTTGCGACATTATCTGTTTAACTACTTGTCTTCTTCTTCTGTAAACATTATACACACTTTTTAGATAAAGTAGATAACACATGTTTTACTTATTTACAACTTTGATTGTTAATATGAAAGCACTTATAGAAAGACCCAAAGAAACAATAAACAAAATATAAAGTTCCATATTTATATATTATATATATATATATGTATATATTATATATATTTATATATTATATATATATTATATTTATATATATATTAGTATTTACTCGTATTTATTTCTTGATAGACATACGCTACCTTCGGTAGATATAAGAAACTGTGGCACCTATAATAAGCAGTAATATTATGGGAATGAGTACTATTTCGTAAGTCACTGATGAATCCGAAACCTTTCCAATGCTAGTCGATATTTTAAGCATGGTCACTTCATTAAAAATCCGAAATATTGATCTTCGTTCTATTAAAATAACTAGTATCTTATACAATTGATTTGGTTGTAATGGACAATTCCTAGCACCTCCGTAAGTTTTGTTGTCACCAACTATAAAAGTATAATTGTTGCGAGCAATCCCAGTTGTCTAAAATAATAAAACATAAACATGTGTGTGTAGAAAAAGAGAGAAAGAAAAAGATGACATAAAAACTAAAAGCAACAGTTTTTTTAAAGTGATTGAATTGCACAAACTTATACGTACGCACTTACTTAGTTCTTATATATTTAATTATCTATTTGTAAATAAATACTAAATACTTCTTTTATTTTGTTTGTGTTTTTTACCTAACATGTTTAATTGTAAGAATGTTTTTGAAATTGGGTTGAAATAATACACGTACCAAGATTTCAGCAGCTTGCCAAGCAACATTATCTTTTTTTATATTCATCTGCTTTTGTAGATTTGAAGGAACTTTCGAATAATTCTTGCATGGATTTAATCCTTTCACAATAATGTGCATGCTACTACCATACGTGTCATTAATAACATGCGGCACTTTTAATAAAATTGTACTATCAAGTTCATTCGGTACGACCTGTAAATCGCCATCAAACGTTGCGGTTGACGGTGTCTGTACATTTACATAACTGTACAGACTGGTCTCGTTTATGATAGTCATAGATCGAATATAGATTCGATACATTGTCGATGGATATAAATGTAACTGCTCGGTATAATTACGCATATATTCTTCCACTGGATATTTATATTTCTTTATCGCGGTTAATTGAGAAATGCGTTGTTTCAGATATGATGTACCTTCTTCTACAGTGATGAGAAAACATTGTAAGTGACGACTTGTTTTCCAAGGATGATACCATAGTAATTCGACTATGCTGTTATTGTGTACTGTGTAAATAACAGGAGTAGGTTTGTCTGGTTCTGCAAAACATTTTTAATATACTCTTTACCACACATTTTGTTATTTTCGTGTAACCAAATTGTAGATATATGTGATTATTTCTCTTTACATCTCTTGATACTAAGAAGATGCTGAACTGTTTTACCACATTTTCGTAGTTTACTTTTCATTTTGCAGTTATTGATCGGAATGAAAAACGTTTCTCTAGAAAGAAAATATGTTAAAAAATGGAAAACTCAAGAAAAATACAAGAAAAACAACACAAACTTTATGAAAATAAAGTAAATGTAGTAGCTAAGGTTAGTAAATATAGTAACTAAAGTTACTACATTTTCACTTCTTATATTGTACAAAAGTGGCACATGATTTTAAACGAAAGTTTATACTTCAATAGGCAAATTGTGAAAATATTACTCAAAAAAGACATCATGAATAACGACGATTTTGCAATGATTACACTAAGATGATTCACCATAACGCAACAGGTTTGTCAAAATAAAATTTTGCAAACAATATTTGTCAAAAATTGAAAAAGAGTTATGCATTTCTATAAATATACACATAAATTAAGTTGATTTTTTCATATGCAATTGTATTTCCACATGTTTTAAACATCACATAACTGAAATTTTTTTTGCAATTATCGAACAATTTCTTTTTAACTTTAATTTTGCAAACATACTGCTAAGATAATTCGCCATATTGTTATTCTTTTGCCAAAATAGTACTTGGAAAATAATTGTGGAAACAACTACAAATATTTTATAAAAGATCAATGTTTTTACATCTAGTTTCCATAATATATCTATATAATTGCAAAGTAAAATTTTAATGCAAAATTTTGGCACATAATTTTATATATAAATGTTTTCCTATCAGAGTAGTGTTCTAATTTATATACAGAGACGAATATTTTGAGCGTTTCAGAAAAAGACTCTGAAGCTTCTTAAAAAACAAAAGTATAAAATTAGAATTAGTATAGTTTTAGCAAAAGTACCAAAGTTATAGAACTTAACGCAAAAAACAGTGAGTCTGTCTCATTCTAAAAAGAAGGAAAACAAGAAATAAAAGACAAGAAGGGAGACACATCTATTTTCCGTTTTAATCCGACTAGAAGGCGCTACCTTTTGAACTTCAGCATTCTCTTAACGTTACGAAAACCGAGATCAACATATATAGTACGCTATAGTAAATATTGAGTGTAAAATAAAGGAAAGTAAAGTTTCTTGTCAAAGTTGATGCAGCACTATGTGCGTATGGCACTGAAAAAAAGGGTGAGTCCCAGATGCGCACAGAAACAATGGGACACGGCAGGATGTATCAATCGGACACAATAAGAAACGGACACACGCCAATCTCAATCGGACACAATCGCAATCGGACACAGTCGCAAATGGACACAGACGCAATTAGACACAGTCTCAATCGGGCACAGACATAATTGGACACAGTCTCAATCGGACACAGACGCAATTGGATATAGTCGCAATGGGACACAGTACGTTTTTCGATATCATGTGTATTTCATGAGTAAATAGTTTGTTTGCATCACACGTTATCGTACACGTGTGGGCGGGAGAGGAGTTCCGCTCCTCCCCCTGTTCCGAAAAAATCTAATTTAACCTAACTTATTATTATCAGTAATTGTTACAATGCACAGTGCTTCTTACTTGTGTCCGATTGAAACTGTGTCTGATTGCGTCTGTGTCCAATTACGTCTGTGTCCGATTGCGATTATGTCCGATTGAGACTGTCGTTTCCCCTCGTGTTCGATTGAAATTGTGTCTGACTGAGTCTGTGTCGGATTAATACACTCTGCTGTGTTTGTTTGATTCTGTGCGTATCTAGGTCCTCCCGGAAAAAATACTATAAAAGTGCACAATGTAAACAGAGAAGTTTCCAAAGAATGCGATATACATATATAGATATTGTGTTTAGTTTTTAAGTAAAATATATTTTCCAATAATATAAATGAAAAACTAGTTAAAAGTTAATGATGGAAAAGTTTTTCAAGACATTGACATGTACGTTATGTATCTTACTTCACTTACTTGTAGTAGTAAACTCTTCTTGAGATATAGTAACCGGTGGGCTTAAAGCTGTATTATTTTGATTTATTTCAAACATCTGTAATTTAACATATTATTTCACGACGGTGGAAGATGGCGTTATTTTCAGAGCGTGATACAAATATTGCGAAAGAAGCATCAAGTGCTTCGGTAACCGAATTGGGAAGGTAATCGCACAAAAAGCGAGAAACCCCAGGTCGACTCCTGGCCAGGGACTTAATACCGGTATGATTTCAATACCGGTATTATACTAGAGATTGTATACCGAAACCGATATAGTACCGAAATTGAGTCTTACCGTTACCGTTATAGTACCGAAACCGATACATTACCGAAAACCGTAATAAAATACCGGTATTATTTCGGTAT